ATACATACATACGTATATGCAGTGGAATATTATTCAGCCATGAGAAGAAAGGAAATCCTGCCATTGGGACAATGTGGATGGTGCTAAGTGAGGTAAGTCAGACAAAGACAGACAAACACTTTATGATCTCATTTGTATGTGGAATCTAAAAGAGCTGAACTCATAGAAATGAAGAGTACAATGGTGGTTACTGAGGGTTGGGGGTGGTGTAAATGGGGAGGTGTTGGTCAAAAGAGTATAAATTTTCACTTATGAAATGATTAAGGTTTGGGGAATTAATGTATAGCATTAATTATAGTTAACAATACTGTATTATATACTTGAAAGCTATTATTATAGTTAACAATTATAGTTAACAATACTGTATTATATACTTGAAAGCTATTAACAGTGTAGATCTTAATTGTTCTCACCACAAAAAAGAAATGGCAATTATGTGATGAAATAGAGGTATTAGCTAACACTATGTCAGTAATCATTTTATAATACATAAGTGTATCAAATCAATATATCGTACACCCTAAACTTACATAATGTTATATGCCAATTATATCTCAGTAAAGCTGAAAAAAATAAATATAAAAATGTATGATGGCTTATAATTAAAAAATGTAATATCTGAATTGAAAATTTTACTGTATAAAATTAACGGAAGGTCAAACACTGAAGAAGAAAAGATCAGTGAATGTGAAGATTTAGAATACATCCAAAATGAAGCACATGACTTTAAGCAAAGGAGAGTAACATGACTGAAAAAAACTGAAAAGAGTATCAGGGAACTATACAGAATAATATCAAGCAGTTAACACATGTGTAATTGTAGATGTAGATGAAGAAAAAGAAGGAAGACAAATATTTAAGACATAATGGCTGAAAAATTTCCAAATTTGAAAAAAAACTAAAAAACTACAACCTGATACCACTACATACCCAGTATTGGAGAAGATATGGAGGCCTGAAACTTCATACATTGTTGGTGTGAATATAAAATACAGCAATACTTTGGAAGACTGTTGGCAGTTTTTTAATAAACATTGTCTTACCAAAAGGCCCAGCAGTTCTGCTCCTAGGCATTTCCCTAAGAAATGAAAACAAACGTCCACACAAAGACTTGAATGCAAAAGTTCATAGCTTTATTTCTTATAGCCCCAAACTGGAAACAATCCAAATATTCCCCAAAAAGTGAATAGATAAGGTTGGTGGTATATTCATACAATAAAACACTACTCTGCAATAAAATGGAATGAACTACTAGTCATAATATGGATGCATCTCAAAAACCACTTGCTGAACAAAAGAAGCCAGAAACAAAAGGGTATATACTACATAATTGTATCTATTTAAAACTCTAAAAAAAAAATCTAATCTATTGTGACAGAAAATAGATTATGGTTTGCCTGGGGACAGTATGGAATTGACTTGGTGGGACGTGAATTTGGGGAGTAATAAAAATGTACTGCATTTCAATTGTGCAGGGCGTTACATGAGTATATAAATTTGTCAAAACTCACAGAAATGTTCATTAAAAATGGGTGCTCATTTTATTGTATATAAACTATACCTCAATAAAAATAAATTTTAAAAGTAGCTTTCTTGTACATTTGAAGAAACTAATTAGAAAATGTTATGAAAAATTCGATCCACAACATCAATAAAAAACACAAACTACCTAAGAACAAAACTGTGAAATAGTCTCGACCTTTATAAAAATTATAAACATTGTAGTACTTAAGATAACACTTGAATAATTGCACATATATTTCAGATTTGTGGATAAAAAGCATCAATATTATAAAGATGTTATCTCTCCCTCAAATTAACTTATTAGTTCAGTGCTATGCCAATTAAAATCCACTCAGTATTTTTCATTAAACTTGACTGATTCTAAAATTAATTTGGGCTAAAAGAGCTTAGAATGGAAAAACAAGTCAATATAAAAGAGATACTATTTTTAAAAATGTAAAATAGTTAAAACTGTAATAGTGACATAGAAACAGACATAATAGATTGGAAAAAACAGAATACAAAGTGCAGAAACAAATCTCTGGGATTAATTAAATGATAAAATTGGCTTTTTCAATCAATGGGAGAGAAAAAGGACATTTCTATAAATGGTGTTGAGACAACTACCTATTCATGTGGGAAAGAATGTAGCTAGAGCACACACATAACAAATTCTAGCTGTTTTAAAGAATTTTAAAAACTGAATTTAAAAGTAATAAGAATAAAATATAAGAGAATATGTTTGTGACCATGGGGTAAAAAGGACCATTTGGAAGACTCATAGAAAGGCATTAAACATAAAGAGAAATATTGTTAAATTTGATTACATTTTAAAAACCCTTAGATATATCAAAAGCATCTATATTTTGACCCCCCTTCCACTCCTGCCCCTTTTTTTGATTTTCAAGGTCAAGTAAATGGTTTTATGTATTGGCCCTTCTATGTGTTAGAAATCATAAAATACGTATTTTTTAGATTAAAAAAGTCACCATAAGCAAAGTTAACTATCTAGTGGTGTACTGGGACAAGATATTTGCAATACTTATAACAGAGTAATATTGATATAATGAGTAAGAAAGAGAAAAATAGACAAAGGATATGAACTCAACAGAAAAAGAGACAAAGAATATGAACAGGCTAGTCACAGATAGGGGATATGATTTATATAAAAATATACAAAATAATTCTCTTTTCTCTATGGAGATTTAGAAGCCTGCAATGTTATTTTTAAAGGTCTAAAATTGTATAAAACTCATAAGAGTTGTCATTTTGGGTAGGAATATAGGTACTAGGATTTGAAGGCATAATAAAAAGTCCTTTTATTTGTAAAGTTCTAATTTTTCAAAAGGAAAATATATAGGGTATTTAATATAAAATTTAATTTAAAAGGTTCACTGAAGTTTGAACTTCAATGGGTGAAGTTTACTATAAATTTCATTGGAGTGGATAAATGGAGGCAAAAGTTAAATGGATTGAAAAATAGAGAGGAATTCAGATCCAGAGGTAGTGACTGTAGACAATTTTTCTGAGGAATTTGGACATGAAGGGAAATGGATGGTGGAAAATAATAGACATTATCTAGAGAAGAGTTATTTGTTTTTTTGCTTTTTGTTATAACATCTACACCTATACAAAATCAGTCTCACAAATATGTATATATAACATATATATGTAGTATACAAGAAAGAAGCCATTAGATAGGTTAAAAAATAGAGAGAGATTACAGTTTAGGAAAGAAGGAATAAATTGATGAATTATCTTGGCATTCAATATTTAGAAACTATGCATGTTTGTCAATGATATAGTAGATTTAGGACATGGCTCTGCTTCTGACCAACTGATTTCTAGGGCTTTCTATCACTGTAAAAAAGGATTTTGTTGAGAAGCTTGTCTATACAATATTCTGAATATCAATAAGTTTAAACCAAGTATCTTTAACTAAATATTTTCATAGAGAAAAAATGATAATAAGTTACCCTAATAGAAATCCCCATTGCCAGGGGAAATTCAAAAGGAAGTGGGAAATAACAGCAACTGAACATGCCTCCATAAGGCATGGACCCATAGATAATCTTAAACAAACATTTTTCAATTGCTTCAGAGCCTGAAATAGAAACAAAGTCATATTTAGACAAACTCATAATGGCCAGAAAGAGAATCATTTAAGCAAATATTAAAATATAAAGTCTTTTTTAGGTAATAAGCTTTTACTAAACTAATTTTTTCGACTGTTCCACTGGGCTTGAGATGCTATTATAGGTCATTTTATATGTCATCAAAGCTTGGATTATAAACTATTTCACATTTTATAAAACATTGTTGTATTTCAATTATTAAAAAAGATCCAGATGATGTATTATAGAGCTGTACACTAAAACCTATATAATTTTATTAACCAATGTCACCCCAATAAATTTAATAAAAAGAGATACATTTCTCTGTGATTAAATGACTGGTTCTACCTTCCTTAATCTCCCTAGTAAATAGTATAATGAAAGTAGAGATTTATTTCTATCAGTTAACTTTTAGAAATGAATTGTTTGATTAACTTAATTATTGTAATAGAAACTATCAACATGAGAAAAGAGAAAAATCACTTAAAAACTAAACAATTAACTAAAAGGGAGAACTTTAAAGTTTTCTATTTGGTTCAAATTTTCAACAGGAGAATACAGTAAGTTATCACTGTCTATAATTATTTATACTCTTGAGATAGTATCACTAAACTTGTACATTGCCACAGCTATTTGAGAAGCTATTATATTCATGTCTTTTTTAAAAACCTAAATAGAATTATGATCCCTAGATAGTAATATTTAAGGAAATATTATACAAGATTAGCTTTTACAATAATTCAAAGGTAATCAGAAATATACTTCTGTGAGAAAAAATTCATGAAACAAAAATATTATTGAAATTCTTAATCTCTCTAAAAAAAAAAACAAAATAAAAGCAAAAACCTTTTATGGGGTGACTTTATTCTTTGTTTACTTGAAAAGTAAATAATTCTCCATACAAGAGCCACAACTTTCAAATAATACAAATGGTGCATAAGAGATATTTATCTCTATGCAAATAATTAAACGTTATCTCTAATAGAGATCTTACATCACAGTGATTTTTCACATCAGTAATAAAAATGACAAGAAGTAGAAATTAAAGTGCCAACATTTCTGCAAAATTTTTGTTCTTTATTTTAGTTTTGTTTACAGACTCCACTTGAAACAGCTATAGCAAAATTCTTCCACTTCTTTTCTACCAGCCTCTAATATTTAAAGTAATTTTACTCAAGTTATAATTGGAAATCTACCTGTGGATCGAGTCCAAGCCCAGCTCGTATTAGGATAATGGTAAGGGCAGTGTTTCTTAAAGTTGAAGACCATGTGTTACTAATATTGACACGCTCACTGAAGAATGGAATATTCCTGATGGTAAAACCAGCCAGTAACATCCCTCGGAAAAAAGAAAAAGAAAAAGAAAAAAAAAAAGAAATCATGTCTAATTCTGTTCGTTTTTCCAAGAGAGAAAACACAAATGTTTTATTTTCCTTCTTCAAACACACTATGTCTTTCATTACTTTGGTGAAGGGCAAGTTACATACAAGTAAAGGAGGTAGCATAAATAAAGAAATGGAGTTAAGAAATGACATATGTCAATGAAGTACAACAAGTAATCCAGTAAAGGGCAAGGATGGGAGTGGAAGAATGAGCAGGAGGGGTCAGATTGTGAACAGCAACACTAACCCTGCATATCCCGCTACTTTGGTATACTAAGGCATGATGGGAAAGTTTTAGGCAGGAAGTGACATAATGAGTCTTGCATTTTCTATGTGATGGTCTTTGTGAATTAGACATGACACTGGAGGAGAGACCAATGAAAAGCCTCTAGCATAGTCTATGGAATAGATGGAAACAAATAGCCTAAGCTAGGGCAAGAGTAAAAGTTTGGGAGAAGAGGAAAAAAGATTCAATGAATAGTTAGGAGGTGCTGAAAGGGTGTAATGGACATAGAAAGGGTGTTAGAGATGAGATAGAGAGATTATTTCTATTGACAATATACTGAATATTTGGATGTATTGAATACTTAGAAGATATGACACACCTCTGACAGAAATTCTTCCACTAATTTTCTTCTGTCCAGCTGGAGATTTATGTAATAATGATAATGAAGAAATAGGGTATAACACTGGTCAGGTAGATGATGCATCCATGAATACACATAGTGGAGATGCCCAAACAGCTTACTCAAAAACCATAAGAACTTTTGGTGGCTTAATCACTAATATTTGGATGTTGTAATTGTATTTGAGTTAGGTTATCTATAGAAAAATTCAGTCTTTTCCAAATTTTTCCTTTTCCATAATACACTTAAAATTGAGCAAAAAATGTCCTATTAAATGATAAAGCAACAAAAATCTTATATTGAGTATATTTAAATTATTTAAAAACATATTTCAGAAAAAATTCTGTGTATATATAGAAAATATTTCTATAAATGAGCTATATAAACATATAGAGTACATACATATATAAAGAAGCTATATAAATCATATCACATTGAAATATTTCTAAATGATATCTACTCCAACTAGAATATGTTCATAATTTACATATATTGCATAAAAAGAAATGAGAGCTAATTGTACCCTTACCAAGAAGAGGTGGAAGTTGAGGCACTGAAGGTATTCTAATGAATTGCAAAATTTTCCCCCCAATTACGGCACTATAAAAGATAACTAACAGTCCAAATAAACTTCCACCAGGGAGACTGTCAGGGCCTGCGACTGACCAGATGACACACCATACCATTATAAGCAAAACTCCTGAAAAAACAACAACAACAAAAACCTGTATATTTACACAGACAGATATATACATAAAAAGATAAATTCTATTTTATCCAATATCACATTAATAGCCAGTCCTATATAATGATACCTAGTGTAGACTAATGTCATTTGCTAGAATTGTTGAAGAAATATCTGTTTAACATATACTCCAAAGTACCTGTCAATTTATGGGATAAGTTTAAAATAAATTTTTTATTTAAATATATTTTTAAACTATATGTGAATCCTTTAAAGTACTAAACATTTCTCATAATATATGATGTTTTAAAAATATCACAGCAATATAATGAGATTTACTTTGTTTTATATTTTAAAGTAGCTTTTCCATCAGGAATAAGTATAAGAATTCTCAAAATCACAGTGCCAGGGTGCCAAATTTTTTAACAGGAACAGAGTAAATCTTTCTATCAAAAGGATAACTCAGTTGATATTTGGCATAAATTATTAAAGCGGGTAAGGGCTGAAAATAAAAGAAATCTGGTCTGTGGGAGAATATAAAGTATCTTAGATTATGTGTAGGAAGCAGAGGTAGACAGGGTAAGGACTAGACAGACATCTTGTTTCTGGCAACTAGATACTAAGGAAAGGCCCTATTCACAGAAGAATCCATAGATTTCTATAAAGGACAGATGATTACACTGTAAATTGCCATCTGCAAATTAAATGGCTACCTTCACTTACCATAATTTCTAATGCCTTTTCAGCTTCTTAAAACAGCTTAAGTGCATTATCTAGCTGTGACCCATTATTGGCTGCATAGAACTGCCAAGGGTATAATAGAAGAATTTTGACACACTCAAGGCAGAAAACTAGAATTAAGATTCTTGTTCCCTCCCCTCTGACTATTGTTATTTCACAAAACTGGACACCTGAAGGACTGAACTCTTAGTAAAAGAATGGACCAGAAAATATCATTCCATTGACAAAGATAAAAGGCAGTTTGTTTGTCTTAGCTGATCTCTGAGTGGTAAAATCACCTCTGAGAATTCTTATGTAAAACAGGTCTCGACTAACATATTTAGGGCTCAAATTTATATGACTTCCATGGTTTGGGAACTCCTAAACCCTAAACCTACCATAAAAAGTATTTTCCCATGGAACTATCCTTAGAGTAGTTGGTAGGTGCTAGTTCAAAATATCCCTAATAAACACTCTTGATTCCAGATGGCCTAAAGTCCCCAAAATAAAGCTCCATTAAATCTGAACTTAAAATAAAAACTTACAAAATAAGAAATAATCTGCTATGAGCAAAAGTTAAAGATATAACAAAGAATGAGATTCAATCTCCAAAAATCTCAACTGATATAACTATTACATAGATACTATAAAATACGTATTTTCAAAGAAACTCAAGACAATTTAAAAAGACTAGATAGAAGAAAAGAAATACCTGGAAGCAATGTAAAAGAATCAAATAAAATGTCTAGAAATAAACTAAAAAGTTATTGAAATTAAAAAAAATCACCAGTTACCTTAAATAACAGATTAGATACAGCTGAAGAGAAAAATATTGCAAACTGGTAGATTTAAAGAAATTACCTAGGGTGTAACTTAAAAAGAAAAAATGAGGTGAAAATTATAAGATATTTAGGCTTTGAAAAAAGTGCAAAATACACCTAATGGTAGTTCCACAAACAGAATTGAAAGAGTGAAGAAGAGACGATATTTGAGAAGATAATTGGCTTAAAAAAATTACAGAATTGATTAAAACCATAATCGGATAAATGTTTTCAAGTCTTTGGGGTAAATACCCAGTAGAGGGATCGCTGGATCATATGGTAGGTCAATTCTTAGTTTTTTGAGGAACCTCCAAACTGTTTTCCATAGCGGCTGTACCAATTTGCAGTCCCACCAGCAGTGTATAAGGGTTCCTTTTTCTCTGCATCCTCTCCAACATTTGTTATTACTTGTTCTGTTGATAACAGCCATTCTAACAGGTGTGAGATGATATTTCATTGTGATTTTGATTTGCATTTCCCTAATAGCTAGTGAAGTTGAGCATCTTTTCAAATATTTGCTGGCCATTTGTATGTCCTCTAGGGAGAAGTGTGTGTTCAGGTCCTCTGCCCATTTTTTGATTGGATCATTTGGGTTTTTTTTGTTGTTATTGAGTTGTATGAGTTCTTCGTATATTTTGAATATTAGGCCCTTATCGGAGGCATTGCTTGCAAATGTATTTTCCCATTTGGGTGGTTGTCTCTTTGATTTGTTGATGGTTTCTTTTGCTGTGCAAAAGCATTTTAGTTTGATGTAGTCCCATTCATTTATTTTTGCTTTTACTTCCCTTGACTTTGAGACCAAATTCATAAAATCCTCTTTAAGCCCACAGTCCATGAGTTGAGTACTTATGTTTTTTTCTTTGTAATTTATTGTTTCAGAACTTATATTCAGGTCCTTAATCCATTGAGTGAATTTTGGTGTGTGGTGATAGACAACAGTCTAGTTTCATTCTTTAACAAACAGCTCTTTTAAAATTAATCTATTTTCTATCTTGTCCAAGAAGCTGAGAGCAGATAAACTAAATGATGGGGAGTTTTGATTAAATGAAAAAGACAGAGTGAAAGTAGAGAAGAAAATAAGAACAAAACCAAGTGAGCTCAAGATGGCAGACAGGGCACACAAGACTTAACTAAAATAAAAGTATGGAAATACAAAAGAGAATACATATACAACCGTGAAGACAATTGGAGGAGAAGAGAGAGTGGTTGTCACACAATTCTGGGAGATAAAAGCAAATAAGACCAACTTGAAGGATGGAAAGAGGTGGAGAAAGATGCGTCCTTGAATATGTGTGGTAGCTATAAAGATATTCAGCTGACAATGAAAACTGAAAGAATCTCTGGGCTTGGATATAGTATACAGCTAAAGGCAGGAGTGAGAAAAGGGGCGGAAGAGAGAGAAATTAATCAAGAATTTGTAAATAGTAAAACAGCTCCAGTCAGCAACTCCACTCCTCTCTCCATTCCTGTACTTAGAGACTGCGAGCATTTACCATACTTTAAATAACTTGAATGGAGTGTATGAGGGAGATCTTAAAGCTTCAAGAGTAATGCTGGAATTCCAGAGTGCAAACATCTTATTCTAGTATGTAGAAAGCCATGACCTCTTAGCCAGCTCTATGTCCATTCATCACAAACCAAAGCCCATAAGTCAATAAAGCTTCATCTTGCTCAGGCAGAATACTGTTTCAGAGGAGGGACCCAACAAGAAAACAGTCCTACCTTCAGAGCAGCATAGTATATTCACATACACTACGAGACCTTCCTTCTCGAGTATAAGACAACCAAGGATCACCAGCATAAAATAAGAACCAGCAGCATCAAAGTGAAAAATTCAAGTAAAACAAACTGAAAAACTGACCTCAGAAGAAACAGATAATTCAGGGACCAGAATAAAGTAAAACAGAAAATTAACATTATATTCTCAGAGATTTGAGAACATACATAAAATTAGAGTAGAATAAAATGAAAGGAAAAATTAGAGAACAAGAAAAGTTCTTGGAGATAAAATAAGTACAACTGCTGAAATGAAAAACTGGAAAAATGAAAGACTGAAAATGAAGAAAAAGAAATCTCTTAGAACAGAGAGCAATATAAAAATAAAGTAGCAGTATATATGAGTGAAAATCAATACAGGATGCCCAGTATCTGACTAGAAGAGGGAATAAAGAAAAAAAAGGGAGGAAAGGGAAAAATTGTCAAGGAAATAATATGCAAATATCTCAGTGTTCAAATTAAAAAGCTCAACTAAGTGTCCAACACAAAGGATGAAAAATAGTCCGTATCTACACTTATCATTGTGAATGCTGTAACATCAAGGATGTATAAAAGATCCTAAAACTTGATATTCTAGATACTAGAAAAAAGCCTTTTCCAAAGGAATCACAAAGGGATTTGCATATTATTTCTAAGTAGCAACTCTAGATACTAGAAGATAATGGATGAATTCTTCCAAAATTCTAAGAAAAATTATTTCTAATCTAGAATTATATATCTAACTAATCAGGTGTGAAGGCAGAATAAAAACATGTTTATATATATATATGAGGTCTTTGCAGGTTTAGTTCTCATGTATCCTTATTTTAAGTAGTCACTTGAGGAAGTATGCTAGCAAAATCAGGAGGAAACCAGGAAAGATGAAAGATATTTATCTTGGAAGCAGTGGCCCCAAACTAGAAGAGCACTGAAAGAAAGCCATAGGATAATAGTCTTCTGCAGACTTGGAAAGCAAACACATTAGGTGAAGACGGAGGTCTTTAGGAAAAATGTCTCCAGGAATAAAGAGGGATTTTTAAAGGTTTATGAAACTATGAAGACAGTAAAAAGATCACTGGCTTCCAGGGGATTCTATAGGGAGAAAGGGATTAATAGGTAAAAGCAAAGGAGATTTTTAGGGCAATAAAATTATTCTGTATGATATTGTAATGGTGGATGCATGTCATTATACATATGTCAAAACCCATAGAATGTATAACACAAAGAGTGAACCTTAATGTAATTTATGGACTTTCATAATAATGTATAATATTGGTTTATCAATTGTAACAAATGTACCACACTAATGTAAGATGTTAATAATCGGAGAAGTGTGGGGGTGGTGGTGGTGGTGGTGGTGAGGGGTTATATGGGAACTCTCTGTACTTTCCACTCAATTTTTCTGAAAACCTAAAAAAAATTGCTTAAATAATAAAGTCTACTAACTAAAAAAACCTATGAAACAATATGAAATGGTGTGATACACACTCACAATTAAGTGCCAGAATGAGAAAATGGGGCAGAAAAAATATTTGAAAGAATGACTGAACATTTTCAAAACTGATGAAAGGTAATACACCAATCCAAAGCCTATAGAACTGCAAGCAGGACAAATACAAGAAAGAGCATACATAGTCATATTATAATTAAACTGTAGAAATCAAATGATAGAAAGAAAAACAAAATTATTCAGAATATATGGTCATATTGTATTCAGGGGAATAACAATAATAATTATTTTTATGTATGTTATGGTGATCTGTGATCAGTAATCTTTGATGCTACTATTGTAATTTTGGGGGGTGGAGTGCACCATGAACCATGCCTGTATAAGACAGAAAACTTAACTGATAAATGTCGTGAGTGTTCTGACTACTCCACTGATTGGCCGTTCCTCCATCTCTCTACTTCTCCTCAGGCCTGAGACACAACAATATTGAAATTAGGCCAATTAATAACCCTACAATGGCTTCTAAGTGTTCAAGTAAAGGAAGAGTCACACAGCTTTTAAGTCAAAAGCTAGAAATGTTTAAACTTAGTGAGGACAACATGTAGAAAGCTGAGATAGGCCAAAGCTTACCTCTTGTGCCAAACAATTAACCAAGTCGTGAATGCAAAGAAAAAGGTTCTTGAAGGAAATTAAAAGTGCTACTCAAGTGAACACACACATGATAAGAAAGTGAAACAGGCTTATTGCTGATATGGAGAACATTTTAGCAGTCTGGATAGAAGATCAAAACAGCCACAACATTTTCTTAAACCCAAGCCTAATCTAGAGCAAGGCGCTAATTCTCTTCAATTCTATAAAGGCTGAGAGGTGAGGAAGAAAAGTCTGAAGCTGACAGAGGTTCATTCAAGAAGTTTAAGGAAAGAAGTCATCTCCATAACATAAAAGTGCAAGGTTAAGGCAGCAAGGGCTGATGTAGAAGTGCAGCAAGTTATCTAGGAAATCTAGCTAAGATAATTAATGAAGGTAGCTACACTAAACAGATTTTCAATGTAGACGAAATAGTCTTCTATTGGAAGAACATGCCATTTAAGACTTTCATAGCTAGAGAGAAGTTAATATCTGGCTTCAAAGCTTCAAAGGATAGGGTGACTCTCTTGTTAGGGGCTTATGCAGCTGGTGACTTTAAGTTGAAGCCAGTGCTCATTTTCCTTTTCAAAAAACGTAAGGCTCTTAAGAATTATGCTGTCTACCTCTGCCTGTGCTCTACAAACATAACAAAGCCTGAATGACAGTACATCTGTTTACAGCATGCTTTACTGAATATTTTAAGACCATTGTTGAGAACTACTGCTGAGAAAGAGAAGATTCCTTTCAAAATATTATTGTTCGTTGACAATGCACCTAGTTACCCAAAAGCTCTGATGGAGATGTACAATGAAATTAATGTTATTTTCATGCCTGCTAACACAACATCCATTCTGCAGCTCATGGATCAAGAAGTAATTTTGACTTTCAAGTCTTATTATTTAAAAAAAAACATTTTGTAAAGCTATTGCTGCCATAGATAGTGATTCCTCTCATAAATCTGAGCAGAGTAAACTGAAAACTGAAAGAAGTTACCATTCTAGATGCCATAAAGAACATTTGTGATAATGGAAAGAGGTCAAAATATCAACATTAACAGGATTTTGGAAAAAGTTGATTCCAATCCTCATGGATGACTTTAATAGGTTCAATACTTCTGTGGAGGAAGTAACTGCAGATGTGGCAGAAATAACAAGAGAACTAGAGTTAGAAGTGAGCTTAAAAACATAATTGAATTGCTGCAATCTCATAATGAAACTTTAACAGATAAAAAGTTTCTTCTTCAAGATGAGCAAAGAAAGTTGTTTCCTGAGATGGAATCTACTCCTGGTGAAGATGTTGTGAAGGCTGTTGAAATGGCAACTAAGGATTTAGAATATTACATAGATTTAGTTGATAAAGCAGTGTCAGGCTTTGGGAGGACTG